CTTGTGTGGTAGAACGGCATCGCTGTCTTTTTATGCGCTCACACTACAGGAATCTGCTTTGGCTTCCTCTCATCCATATGATTTCTCTCTCTCTCTCCCATACTCTTAATGCTCTCTCTTTATGTTTCGGAATCGTTTAAATGTGTGTGTGTGTGTGTATGTGCCTGTTTCCCTTTTAAAGGGACAAGTAATATGAAATAATGAAACGGTTTGCCACGTCGATACATAATTCTTGCATTTAAGCTCGTTATTGTTGGTAAGGGTACCTAAGCGTTGCATGTGCGTATTTTTTTGGACTTGCTATGCACGCATACTTGCATATTTTATATATGAATAGAAGCATTTATGCGTTTGTGTGCTTGTTGGTTGCTTACCTGTCCGATGCAAATTTAACAAAATTTTCGGATTTCTGATTTTTGACCTCTTCACACAAATGTGTGTGAATAGGCAGATCGTGGGCGCAAAAGAAAATATCATTATTGGCACGCTTCCGACACGCGCCCTTCTTTTTTATGATTTCTGGTTTGAGTTGCTGAATGAATGTCGACCCCTTATTTCCTGCAGCAGCCCGATAGGCCGAAAGGGTAATGTAGTGTGTATATGCCTTAAAAGAACACCCCATATGCAAATATAAAATATGCGGCACTTTGTTGCATACAATAACAATAATACGTTAAACAAGCTCAGAGCCACTCTATGTATTGGCTTTTACTAGCCTCACTAGCTGACCGTTTGTGCTTACGCTGCATATCCCACGCTCCGTCTGAGCGCATTCCACGAGAAATATATATATGCTCATTAGCACAGGCATATGCAAACTACTCACTCTCCCTCTCTTTGTAGCTGTTAACCAATAACAGCACAAGTATATTCATGTACCAATAGGCTAAGCATGAATCTTTAAAATGAAATAAAGACATTCGGAATATGTACATAAAAACCTAAAGGGTTATTACAGTAAAAGTTTGACAAGCACCTGCACCAGCATATGCAGGTCAAGCTCCTGATCACTTAAATGATTTTATGACCAGCGGAAATTAGTTCAAAAGCTAAAATCTTTAAAATCTTCAAATATACCAAATACAAAAAAGGATCGATTATATATTTATAGTATTCATAATTTTATTGACTTATCATATTAAGCTTTTTCATTTACTTTATTCAATCCTGACGAGTGCCAATAACAAAATTTTCTTTTGCGCCCATGATCTGCCCATTCGCACACATTTGTGTGTGTGTGTGTAGAGCCTGAAATACACAAATCACAAAAGCTTAAAATCTTGTCAAATTTGCAGGGGGCAGGCAGGCAACCAACAGGCACACAAACGCATAAATGCTTCTATTCATATACAAAATATGCAAGTATGCGTGAATAGCAAGTCCAAAAACTTTTAAAAGCACACGTGCCAACGCTTAGGTACCCTTTCCCACAATAACGAGCTTAAATGCAAAAATATTTGCGTCGACGTGGCAAACCCTTTCAGCGATGCCGTTCTATCGCACAAATCATATGGATGAGAGTAAGCCAAAGCAGATTCCTGTAGTGTGAGCGAATAAAAAGACAGCGATGCTGTCTAATAAAAAAGAATAAAAAGACAGATGTGTGTGTAGAGCCTGAAATACACAAATCACAAAAGCTTAAAATCTTGTCAAATTTGCAGGGGGCAGGCAGGCAACCAACAGGCACACAAACGCATAAATGCTTCTATTCATATTCAAAATATGCAAGTATGCGTGAATAGCAAGTCCAAAAACTTTTAAAAGCACACGTGCCAACGCTTAGGTACCCTTTCCCACAATAACGAGCTTAAATGCAAAAATATTTGCGTCGACGTGGCAAACCCTTTCAGCGATGCCGTTCTATCGCACAAATCATATGGATGAGAGTAAACCAAAGCAGATTCCTGTAGTGTGAGCGAATAAAAAGACAGCGATGCCGTTCTACCACACAAGTCATATGTATTTCTTACTCTTTTGTTGTCTGAGCATGCGGGCTTGCCTCGAACCCGATCAAAAACGAAGGCAACTTTGGACCAGTCGCATATAAAATGCTTGGCCCCAGTATTTTACATTGGATGTCCAGTCTATATGTTGTTTGGTTAGTGGTATCACCCATGCTGAATAAAACTTTCGGCGCTGGCTCTTTGGGCATTGCGGCGTTATCAATTTTTCGCATTGCCGTTTTAAATTCCACGAATTTCGTAACAGGCTGGCACCAGCTCGGCGGCGTCATGAATTTAGTCCAATGCTGGCGCCAACTTGATGGCATTAGGAATATAATCCACCCAAAATTTGGCAAACCGTCGTCGCTGATCGCTGCTGATTTCAATATGCACTTGGACGTGTCGATATCGTTGGGGATACGATAGATCGCTTTCCGCAATTGCTGACCCGACGTTTTTTTTATAAAATGCAAGCCGTTGCTGTCTATTGTGGCTCTTAGTTCGTTTTTTATTTTTCGAACTATTTTAATATATTTCATTATTTGCGGATAACAACCTTAACAGGTCTATCCCATTCAAAAAGGGCCTCATATAGATGCCGTGGGCATCGACACATTATCACTAACCATACAATGCATAGTTATGTCAAACAGCAGAATAATCGAAACACGATAAATCGCAACGAGTGAGCCCTATGGGTGCCTGCGACCATTTTGTTATGCCCAGAGAGAGTAAGACTGCTGAGAGTGGCAGCCGAATGCCGGCCTCGAAAGCCGAACGTTCAGTATGAAGCCACAACTGCTGCTGATGCTTTTTCTTAATATATGTATTTTAGCCTTAAAGCCTTACAGCACAACAACATATATGTGTATGCATGTGCAGAGGTTGCCTCGCTCTCACTCATTGCTTTGCGTGCTTGTGTGCATCGCTCCCTGCATAGCTTCACAAAAATCTCCGAGATTTACAAACATAAATATGTTATATGTGTTATGTGGATACGCGCTCAAGTAGATCACGGCGTTTGTCGCGAGCCAGAGATATTTTCTTCAGTTGTGTACCTTTTGGGTCTGTGGTAGCAAAAGGCACACATATTCAAATGCTCTATCATGTATTTCTTCGTCCAGTCAGGCATAATGAGAAGAATCTGATTTATTTTTATTTAATAAAAACTGAAATGACCCAAATGAAATATTTATAGTTTATATTCAATTTTTTTTGTTTACTGTGGGACCTATTTTGCTTAAAATTAATAAAAAAAAAAAAAACTAAGTCGCATTTGTGCAAGGGTAATTCATTGACGGATTGTCGAAGAATTCTAAGAAAAGACCAAAAATTGAAAACGTTCAATTTTTGCGACTCGGTTTATTTTATCGGCCACTCCGATATCTTTTTATCATATGGTAAAAGCAAAGACAATATAAACACTAAGAAAAATTTCATGCCTGGCGTTTTATCTGGCGTTTGAGTTTTCGCACGACATGCCTGCCGACGGCTGTTCGTTTAGACGAACAAATGCCGATGTAGCAGCTTGCTGATGCGCTGACACGAGCAACGAAGTTAGTCGCCAGCCTGCCTTCAGCATAGCTAGTCGATGGTACTTTGCGTCGCTTCGTTTTCGAAGTACATTGAGCGAAAAGTTTTCAACTTACGATCGACGCAAAGTACTTCTGCTTTATCCATGAAATGCATGCTTTATTTAAATGATACATTACCTTAGATACTAACTATAAATTTTGCAGGAAAATAAAAAATTTTTTTACAAGGCGCAACTTGTGCAATAACTATGTTAAGAAAATATCACACAAAGATTTATTTCACTTTTGTTTTTGGACAGTGTATGCTCGAAAGAAGTTTTTGCTCAGCCAGTGGCGTGCAAACACCTCTGTTTGTATGTGTGAATTAAGCATGCATAACTACATCAAAATATGTATATGTATATGTATTGTTATGCCTTGCCTTGGCTTTGGCTGGTGAAGAAATAAACTTTGTTAGTATTCTAGCGCTGATCATGCACGATCCCAAATTTGTATTCACAAATGAATGCATGCTGTGTACTGAGGTTTTTAAAATCGATGCAAATATTTATACAATTTCTTTAAATTAACTTATTAATTAAATTATTCTTATTTTTAAGTAATAGTAAAATTAAAAAACGAGTGGAAATTTTTTGTTTCATGTTATCAATTTTAATATTTTACAAATATTTGCATCGACTTAAAAATACAGATTTTCTACGTAGCCAACTTCAGTACACAACATGCATTCGTACGTGAATACAAATTCAGCGCTAGAAATCTAACAAAATGTATTTCTTTGCCAGCTAAAGCTAGAGCTGTGAATAGCAACACATTCAAATATGCTGTTATGTATGTATATTCACACACATACAAACATAATTGCTTGCGCGTCCCTCATAGAGCCGAAGCGCAGAATACATTCTATTTTTAGCTTTTCGCTCTTTCGGCTGTGAGAACGCAATGATACTGATTTCGTTTTTGTTCTCAAATTTCAAAAAAGCAACCTGCATAGTAGCATTTTGTTGTATGGCGTTACTCATCTTAGTGTTTATATTGTCTTTGGTAAAAGTATCGGGCTGAAGGATGCCAACGCCCGGCTTGCGATCCACTGCGCTGAGAGGGGAAAAGCAATAGGGCGATTGCGATTGGCCACCCGGTTCGCTCATAGAGAGATAAGGAGGAGAGCAGATCGTATGCCCCGGGGAATGCTTGCAAATGGGCAGCAACGGTGCCCACTTTGTCCAAGTATGCGTGTGCCGAAATTCGGCACCGATGATGTTGCAGAAGAGGAGAAGCAGAAGAGGAGTTCGAGTTTGTCAGGGGTCAACGGCGGGCATACCGTGCTTGAAACCAGATTCTAATACCGTCTTACATTCAAAAAATCAAAGTAGAATTAACTTAAAGAGTACCATTTTGGTCAATGCAAATAAATTACCATGTTGCTACGTTATATCGGGGTTTTTCTAAATTATAACGTAAAATGTAATATATAAAACTGCCCATAACGTCTGGTTGTGCGATATATTGTATATGATTTGGATTTTGTGTATATCATAAAACAATAAATTTAAAAACTTTATTAGTGCCAGTCGGAGCAGTTTACGCACACAGAAAATGCGTTGTTAGCCGCAAGAATTTAAATGTAAACATATTGCTGGAATTAAAGTGCATAAATTACATACAAGACTTCCGAACACAAGAACACTCACACAGTTGTACATTTAACGGATACAAAAAATTGCATTGCCCAAAGAGGAGAACCAAGGCGACCGTATCCCACGCCGAAGGATGCCAGCCAGGGCCACACAACATTTTTCCCGGGCACGAGATGCAACGGCGCAACAATACAGGCGATGAAGAAAGAACCTGAGTGAGTCCTCTCCAAGAGCGTTTCCCCACCCTAGTCTAGAGGCAAGGACCAGGGAACCCGAAGGGTTCCAATTTGAGTTGCTCTAAAATAAGAAAGAGAGAGAAATTGTATGATTAAGATAAGTTTTTCTTTTTCCTTGTGTATTATTTAAAATTAATTTAAAAAAAAGGAATGTATATATTGAATAGTTTGTGCCGACTGGGTTACATACATGTACATATATATAATTAAGTTTTGCACGTTTAATTACTTTAAAAAAATATATTTCAATTCTTTATTTTCACTTAACGGCTACTTCTTATGATGAGTACATTCAGATTTGCTTCCCGAATCTTAACTAATTCATTTATCTGTTGCGGTCGCTTAGCAAACTTCGTTTTGAGAGAGTTTGAGTCAAAATTGAGTGAAGTTTGAGCTGCGTCAGCAATTATGCGTGGGATAGTACTCTGATGGGAACATTGACAGTGGCGTGATATTTAGGGTGGATTGTTTATGTCTACCAAAGGGGGACAGTTTGATCTTGACCAATGTCGATGTTATCACCAGGCTTTTTGTTTACAATATTGGAAATGTTTATACTTATGCTTATGCTTGTGTGCTAAGTTATGTTAAAGGGTGGGTGCGACTATGGATATGTCACTCCCCCAACCATTAGAAAAGTGCCTGTCCTCAGGTGTTTAAATTTGGGTATAGTGTAATATTTTCTTCTTTTACAATTGGTGTATATTCTATTTTTGTAGGTGTTTCTTCTACTTTTGGTTTTTTATATTTTATGATTAATTCCTTAGGTATGCTTTTGAATTTATATGTTAAATACAGTGTTAAACTTATTAATGTGATTACAAATATGGTTATTGTAATTATCTGGAATACATTGTTAAATTTTGTATGTTCATTTATAATTTGTTTCGTTTGTGCAAACGAAAGTGGTTCTATTTTTATAACATCATTGCCTACATAAATGTTTTGAGTATAATCTAACATGTTGTTTGAAATTTAAATTTCATTAATTTGTAGTGAACAATTAAAGATTTTTATTAAATTGTTTCCTTCTTTTGTTATTTCGTTATTTATACAATTGTGGTTTAATATTGTTTGTGGTAAATTCCAAGTTAAAATTATATTTGGTTCTACATAGTTAATTTGAAAATTTTTCAAAGTTTTAGTATAACTACATTCTGATGTAATTTGGTTTAAAATTCCTGTCATGCATTCATTATTAATTAATTGTTATATTTACTTTGATTAGTCTTCTTTTTCTTTTTGAATTTGGTTTTGTAATGTATTATCTTCCTGCCTCTGTTTGTTTCCTCAAAATGTTTATCGTCGATTTGTCTTAGTTCTCCTGTTTTCTTGAACGGGGTTGTTGTCTTTGATTTAACTAACGGTGAATGTTTGTATCTTGTGTCAATTTCATAATTCGTTCGTTTTTTGTTAAGGTTATTTATTAGTTTTTCTTTATTAGCTTGAGTGTTATACTCTGGTGTACCTGCGTATATGAATATGTCCGCTGGTGTTCTGTTACTCGTTTTGTGCTTTGTCTTATGATTGTATGTGTAAAGTATTGTTTCAAATTTTGTAAGTTTATTTTCGACGTCTGAGTCGCTGTTAATGATTCGTAATTTTTCGTTAACTGTCTTATGAAATCGTTCTACGTCGGATATGCCGTTTTTACTAGTGGTTATATTAATATTTACTGCTTCTGATTTTAACCATAATTGTAAAGCTGTGCACAAAAAATCTGAGTCTTTGTCTGCTTTTATTTCGATGGGTTTACCCATTTGGTTGAATACTTGTATTATAGCTCGTTTGGTTTCTAACCAGTCTCTACTTTTTATTTCTATTAATGATGCAAATTTTGAATAGATATCAATGCAAGATAAAAATTGTTTATCTCCTACTATGTAAAAATTCATTACATATTTTTCTCGGATATTAGCGATTTCCGGAGTTATTTCGAAAGTTAATTTTGTATCCCTGTGTTCTGTTTTTGCGGTGTTGCAAATCTCACATTCGTTTATTAGATTTTGAATTAAATTTTGATAATCTGGGAAATATTGGGTTTCTTTGAACCAATTAATAGTTTTTTCAATTCCTGGATGTAATAGTTCTTTGTGTTTTTTCAATATTAGTTCCTTGAATTCTGCAAATGTTTGAAGATCTATTAATTTTTTACTAGTTTTCATTGCCTTCGTTAAATTATTCGGGCTTATTATTTCTAAGTAGGCTTCTTGAAAAATTGGAAAATCTGCTTCATTGTGGAAGTATAGCACACTTTTCTTTGTGCATAAATATTCTTTTATTAATTCTTTGGCATGTGCGTTAGTCATGTCTTTGTATGTAATTTTTATGTTGGTATTATGAAAGTAATTTGTAACTTTCGTTTTGTTCTCGGTTCCTTTTTCAAATTCTATTTGCCGATTATAATAATTAAGGGGTCTTTCTGTGATTTGTAAATGGTTACTGTTATCTTCCTGAGCACTATGTATAGTTGCTCTTGTGCTAATGGTATCTTCGCCTAGAAAGTTTTCGTTTAATTGGATTCGGGACAGAGCATCTGCCACATAGTTTTCTTTTCCTGGGACGTATTTAATTTGGAAATGAAACTTATTTAGCTTGATTTTCCATCGTTGTAATTTCATGTTAGGTTCTTTCAGGTTATTTAACCAGACGAGTGGTCTGTGATCACTAAGGATTTGAAATTGTCGACCAAAAAGATAGGACCTAAAGTATTTAGTGGCCCAAACGATTGCTAATAATTCTTTTTCAATCGTTGAATAATTTATCTCATGCTCGTTGAGAGTTCTGCTTGTATAGCATATAGGCTTATGCTCTTGCGAAAGGACGGCCCCTATTGCCATATTACTCGCGTCTGTGGTTAATGAAAATGGTTTTTTGAAATTAGGGTATATTAAAATTGGATCGGATGTTATGAGTACTTTTAGCTTTTCAAACGCTGATTCGTAGTCTTTGTCATTTATATTGATCTTTGCTCCTTTTTTTAATTTAAGTGTTAATGGTTTTACTATATTAGCGAAATATGGTATAAATTTCCTATAGAAACCACATAATCCTAGAAATGATTTAATTTCTTTTGGGGTTTTTGGAATTGGGAATTTGACAATTGCTTGTATTTTGTTGGGATTTGGTTTTATACCCTCAGTTGAGATGATGTGACCGAGAAATTCAGTTTCTTCTCTGATCTCGCATTTATCCAACTGTAGTTTTAAGTTAGCTTCTCTAAGCTTCTCAAATACTTTTTGTAGCGACAATATGTGTTCCTCCAATGAAGTGGAAAAAATTATAATGTCGTCTAAGTAGACCAGACAATCCTTAAAAATTAAATCTTCTAAGAGATTGTTCATACAACGTTGGAACGTTGCAGGTGCATTCTTAAGACCAAATGGCATGCGAGTGTACTCGTAAGGGCCATGTTTAGTCGAAAATGCGGTCTTGGGTATTGAACCAGGATCCATTTGAATTTGGTGGAAGCCTTTGGCTAGATCAATGGTTGTGAAATATTGGCATTTTCCAAGTTTGTCTAATATTTCATCCATGATCGGGATAGGGTATTTATCATTAATAGTTAGTTCATTGAGATTGCGGTGATCTATGACTAACCGGAATTTTTGCTTTCCAGATGCATCGTTTTTCTTTGGAACGATTATTACTGGTGAGCAGTAAGGGGATTTAGATTTACGTATGATATTTTGTTTTATCATATCGCTTATTTGTTTATTTACTTCCTCATCGTATATTTGAGGATATTTATATGGACGCTTGTAAATTGGGTCCTCATGTTTTGTTATAATTTTGTGTTTAATTGTACTAGTGAAAGTCAAATTGTCACCTTCATGGTACTGGATATCACGAAATTGATGTAAAACATTTTTAATTTTTTCTTTTTCTTCTGGGTTTAGCTGCTCTAGCCTAAACTCATTGTTTTCTGTTAATTCGTTATTAATAGCGAAGTTAAATGGTCTGTCCTCTTTTGAGGGTGGATCAAGGCACTCTTGTGCGGTCATGTCCTCTTCGACCTCTTCGTCATTATATCTAAAACAAAAGATAAACTCTCCTAAGGTTACGGATCCTTGTGCATAGTCTATTTTTGCTTGACATGCTTCAAGGTATTCTCTCCCAATCAGAACATCATAATGCTCTGAGAAGTCGTGAATATAGAATTTTTGATTACTCGGACAAATTTTGCTTGCTCCTAGTCTTATGCTTTGTTTTAATTCAATAACACCATTTATGGTGTGAACCTTTAGTGTTTCGTTGTATATTGGAAAATTTAAGCAGTTTGTTTTCATTAGGTTTATAGTTGAACCTGTGTCAATGACACATTTTAGAACTTCGTCGTTCATAATCAATTTTATGAATGGATTTCTTCCGTTTGTTCCGATGAAAATTTTCAGATGTGTCCATTTTCATCTGCCAACTGTTGCTATCTCTTTGACGTTTATTCGGAGGGTTTGGCGCATTCATGCGTGAATGGGGCTGATTTTGATAGTTTAAAGGATTTTGGGTTCTACCTTGATTTTATTTCTGTTGGAACTCGTGGTGAGCCTTTTGATTGTCTTCGGAATTAGTGTGCTGTTTATTTTGTACATGATAACTCTGATTCGTGTTGGAATAGCCACTTGAACTGGTGGCTGGGTTAGCATTTTGCTGATAATTTCCCGTGTTCCTACGATTGTTATTTGATTTCCCTGAACGTTATTAGTTTTAGGTCTATCAGTTACGCTATTTTCGTATAATCCTTCTCTTTGCGCTACTTGTTTAAGTTTCTGTGTCGACGTTATGTCGTATCTGGCTAACATCATGAAAAGCCTATCGGGTAATTTTTTTGTTATTACATCTTTAATTGTGTTATTCATGGCATTTGTATAAAGTGTCGTATTGCTAGGTATATTTTCTAAAGCTAACTCGTTTAATATAACATAAGATTTATTTTCGAGATCCTCGATGAACTTACGGACGTTTCCCTGGTAATTCGTGTTGTATAGGCGTCGAAGGAGTTCTTCAAATCGATGGCTCCGTATAAGATGCTGTGTTGTCTGACATCTCGGGTTGGATAAAGAT